TTATGAAATATTTAAAATATGCTTGTTTTATGATAGAGTTATAAGATGAAATTTTCTAGAATATTTCAAGTTTATAAAATATTTAAAAGAATAAAACTGTGTTAATTTTATATATACAGTAAATACAATATTTTATATTCTTGAAATATACTTACAAAATTAGATATTTATCAAATTATTATATTCAATTCTAAATGTATATTTAGTAATTTCTAATTATGGTCGATGATACCATTACGCATGATCGATGTATAATTTCGATTTGTCATGAACTTTATATATGCACTTATCATACATAAGTACGTCGATTCACGTGATAGCTATGAATAGTATCGAATATGTATCGTATTATTCTATGTATGTATATGTACTTACTAATTCTAAATTAATTAATTTGCAAACTTTCATAAAATTATCATAAAATATAATTAAAAATTATGTCTTTTAATTTAAGTGTATTTTATAAATGTAACTTATTTTTCTATGCAAGTAATAATTTATTATTAATAATTTTAGTCGCTTTGGAAATTTATTATCAAGTTCAAAATGCAAGTAAAAAATGCTATTTAGTATTATAGTTTTAAATTCTTAATGTTGAGAAAAATATATTAATTGATTAAAATAATAATTCAAATAATGTAATTTATTAAATGATGAATTCTCAATAAAAATTTATTAAAATTTATAATTATTTTTCAATAATTTGCTGCTTATATCAATTTCATTGAAAACTATAATAATACTGATGAATTATTGATAATATTTTATGCAAAGCAGATTGGCAAATATGGTAATTATTAAGTTTTTGCAAATAAAATTGAAACATTTTATTCAGAGTTTCAATCTTGTTCGTATTTTTGACGTATTCAAAAGTATAAAATGTAACACAAATTTTATATTTTTTACATACAGATTTTAAATATAATTTAAAATTCGTTTATTAAGAAATTAAATAAATAATTTTACCTATAAATTACATCAATAAATTAATATCAATTTAATATTAATAAAAAGAAAAATAGTTTCTAAGTAAGTAATATCATTACGCGTCAATTTATATTATATATAAATATTACAATTTTTATTTAGCAAATTAAAATTGTTTCCTCACTGTTCCAAGAACTTATTGTTAGTATAGATATGTATATAATATAACGTAATATATCACGCGATGAATCATTCAATCTTATTCCTTGAGAATTTTGTATGGTGAACGGTAATCTGATTATTTTTCCTTGTTGCTCATTGTCAGTCTATCGTATTCTTTATGTGTTACGTCAATGAATTTATATACGTAGATTCTTCCACCAATTCTCCTCAATTCTTTCGTCGTAAAATTGTTTCTTTCCGATACTGTGCGACGTACATGTAATCATATCAAGAAACTTACTATTTCTATAATAATTCAATTATTTTTTTAAATCAGTGATAGTGATATAAAAAATTGTAGTGTGTAATATTTTTAAAAAGAAACGCGAAATTCACATTTAATTGTTATTACTTGTCATTTACGAAGAAATTTAAAATATAGATTCTTTAATTGTTGTAATTAATAATATTAACAAAGGTAAATATAAAATTCTATTACATAATGCAAGAAAATAAAACGAGAGAACTTGCAATATTAATATTATTATGATCAATATAAGAATGATACTTTTTTATATGAAAAAATTATGTATGTATACAGTTGCAAATAATATATCAATAGTAAATTATTATAATATCATATATAGTAATTTCATATATAGTATGATTCATATATCATATATAGTATAATAGTAATTTATTATATATTATATATAGAATTGTATTGTAATATTTCAATTTGTTTTGTTTAAATTATTGTTCTTAACATTAAACGGAGTTAATATAAAAAAAATAAGAATTTTATAAAGTTCTAAATAATAAATAAAACAAATTAAATAGGATCAGTTAGTACTTCATTTTTCAATTAATTAATCGCAATGTAATTAGTTAATTAATTAATTGCAATGTACAGTATCTCTTACAAATATATGTCTCTTTCTTTTAGAAGATGCGTTTCATGTCATATTAAATATTAAATATGACATGAAAATTTTAAATCTAGATAACAAATGAATAATTTATTTAAATTACATAACGAAATTTATGTAGTATAAAATTATTTCTTTTAGAAGAACCAAAGGTTCTTCGTTTTATATTGATTTGTATTATTTTTATTTATTGAGAAGTGCAACTCTATAAAAATATTATATAATAAAATATAGCGTTAAACAAATAATAAATTACAAAATATATTAAATATAATGTAAATATATTAAAACTATATTAAAAATAAAGTCAAAATATATAGAAGTCAGCAATTTTATATATTTTAATTATATATATAATATATATATAT